CCATTAGCAGAAGAGACTTTTCTCCAAATGAATGGAGACCTCTGCTCAGGGAAATCTACCTGCCAATCCAAATTACTGCGAGATTTTTTTTTCTTTTACCCCTGTAACTTCTTCAAACAGTCTCCCTACTCCTATGCCAAACAGAAGCTCCCTCGTTCCATTTAGCATCAGAAGACAGAAAATGCTTGTGCTTGTTACACATGCAGTAACCAAGAAGTCTGTTCCTACTCTGAATTCATTACTCATGATCTGGAGACACCTCAGTTAGATTTATTGCAAAATGTGCTCTATGCGAGGCTGCCTTTGATGATCATTTGAACATTTTAACTGGTTCAGAATGGACACTGATTGATGGGGGCAGGCCCCTCGGCAGAGATAACTCTGCTCTGTACCGTCTATGCCATCTGCACTGGCTTCCAATTGGTTTCTGGGTCTAATTTAATGCAGGGCAATCCAGATGCTTTGGATGACAACTCAGTCATTTTCTCCCAGTACCCCTAATGGCGATAGCAGCTGGGCAGAAAGTTAGGGCACAAAGTGTGCAAGTTAATACATAAATGATTCCAAAGAGATGATGTCTTTGGGTTACAATGCTCTGCCCTAAATCTTCTGAAACTTCAGCCTCATGGAAATTCAGTTGGGAGGACGCTCTGAGGTCACCAAGCTGAATTCTCTGGCTCCATCTACAAATCTTGCGAATAGCAAGGTATATATTGGTCACTAGGAGTCAAAAACAACTTGATAGCTACATATATAGCTATCAAGTCATTTTCGACTTTTATCAACAACATAGATTTTCTCCATGAAATAAATATATATATAAATAAAACACACACACACACACAATAAAATATATACACTATTTCTAATAAAGGAGAGCCATGGCACAAAAGCTGGGAATCACTGATTCACCCAACACCTTACAAAACACAATTGTTGGGTACATATGATGGCTTACTGCAATGGCTAGGTTCATATAATATGCCGAACACAAACTCCCCAATCCCACTTCAATCTAGACTAGCATGTTATGTGTGAGCCCAGCTACTCTTTACCAAACCAAGGTAAGGCAGGAGGATAATCGTTCCCCAATCATGTGCTCTGTGCAGATATCAAACAATAACCTCCTTTGCACATTGCACCATGACAAATGGCTATGTAGCCTGTGGAAGAGGGAGGGTCTAAGCCAATGACCTTCCAAGCATCAGATTGAGGAGGTCTGATTGATCCCCATTAGCTTATCTGCTCTTGTAACTGGTCATTTGACAACCGCCCACCACTGACCGCTTTTACGGCCAGCAAGGGAAGATAAAGTAAATATGGATTGCTCATACATAGTGAGAAAGGAGATGTAGAGGCCGCACTGTGGAAACTTGAAAAAGTGTGGCTTCATTTGTAAATTTAGCCACTTCTTCTTTTTATCCATTGGTGGCCTAGTTACACTGACTACCCCATACTTCCTAGAAGAGACTCTTCTTGCTTCATCCCCAAAATTGTTGAAGAATCCCCTACTGCCCTAAACCAGGCCTGTACAACATGTGGCCCGCCAATCAGCCTTGGAGGCATTTTTCAAGAAGTCAATAAATTCACTGCCACCACTGCCACCCCAAAAGACGTGCTGCCAAGCACCTCCAATGCCTCCAGGCCTCACTGCCACCACCAGCTTCGTTGCTGCTCTGCTAGCCATCAGACAAGTGATCGGTGTGCCCAGTATTAATCTGCAGCCCAAAAGGATTATTAATTCCTTAATGTGGCCTCTTTCCCTCTACAGGCTGTGCAGGCCTGCCCTGGAGAATATTCAGAAGATGCCATCCCTACCAAGAAGGGAAAGAATGTTGTGTGGTCTTTCTCATTCTGCCTGATTTCTTTTTATTTCCTTTACTTTTCAATGACAGAAATGCTTACTTTTCACAGAATCCTTGCACATGCAGAGTTTGTGAATATTAACTGTTCTCTCCAGCCTGGAAATAGGTTTCCTAGTCAATTCCTATTAGAGATTACTGATTTCCTTCTTCTACTTATTCCCTACCCCATAACCAAGTTTCACTGAGTGACAAACAAATTAAAGTAGTTCAAAAATACAGGAATCCAGTAAAACAGCAATCAGATCACAGCATCACTCTAAAATCCTGCAGCAGAACAGAGCAGAGATAAACTCATTCAACCAAAAGCAAAATGACTGGGAGCTGTACCTTCACTGGACTCAGGACAGGATGTGGCTCCAATAAGCTATGAAGATTAAAATGTTTCAAAACTTTAAGCCAGTTTTAGAAAGCATTTTAAAAAGCTTGGGAAGGGGAGCAGAAGACCCAAGGGAGAACATTATTCAGAGAAGGCATGTCACATCTTGCAGTGTTAGAAGGCACTTTCTAGCAGAACTTCCCTTGTAGCTCGATTTGGCTGCCTTCATCCCTCCCATTGGCAGAGAAGGGACAGTTGTCTGTGTGTGGCTTCAAAATCTGCTCCAGAGGGTTGGATGCCTTCCCAAAGCAGGTCCATGCTCACCATGCAACACTGGATGTCACCCATTGAAGAAGGCATTCAGTTGAAGACCTCAGCTAAAGACTTCAGACCTGATCGGTATCTGCAGCAATTTTTCAGATCACAACCTTCTAGATGGTTAATGAATCAGCTGAAGAGTTGAGAACTTTGTTCCTAAAAGAATCCAATGCATTTAACAAGCAACAAAGTCTATACACGTGAGGGATCGTTCCACCTCACTGTCAAGCACGCTATGACTGTGTTTAATGACCTGCTAGCTGGGTTACCCAATTCATCTCTTCTGGGTTTGTAACAACATATGTTAAGCCATAAACTAAATAAGTCATCTGGGCTTGCATAACATACTAAAACCACAATAAAATAAAATATTCAAGCTTTAAACTAACCAAGCTTACCCTATTATGCAATAGGTGTGTGCAAATCTCATAGTTCCAAGGACAGAACATTCTGTTTTCTTCCTGCTCTGGTCCCCCTGGGAGAATTTCCTTTTCTGGAAGTAAATGTTTTGGAACAGGAAATAGATCTAGAATGGTGGCTTTTCCCTTCCCTGTAAAATGCAGCTGCTAAGACATTTACTGACCTGTTTAAGGATTTTGCGTGGATGCAACTAATACATGTCAATCTAACCTTTAACCCTCCTGGCAAAAACAATTTCTAAACTGGATTAGAGCCTTCCCATTTTTGGACCTGACATTGTTGTAACTGATTCTATTTAATTCTGTCACAAGATGATAATCCGTAGGAAGTTTTTAATCTAGGTATTATTTCTTTCCCAGAATAAGTATTCACATAAAATAAATGACTATATCAATAAACAAATACTCCATACCTTCTGGAAATCAAAATTAATGATTGTATTGTATTGTATTGTATTGTATTGTATTGTTTCAGTCCCCAGTATTTTTTTCAGCTTCAAACCACCAAAACACAAAGCAGTCAGCATAATCAATCCATGGGTCACCAATTTGCCAAATAAATGACTGAGCTATGATCTCTTCCTGTTTCCCCATAGTTAATCACAACAGGGAGAACCAGACCACCAGCCAAAACGATTGTGTCAAACTCTATTTCATTTGTATTAAATAATGTTTCAGGACATTGAGAACAACAACATGAATAATAGCAGAACAACACTGAATTCAGCTAGCCTGGTTTAATGGACAGATGAATCCATATAATCCTGGGACACTCAGCCACAGATTTAGCAGATGTCTTTGGCCACCTAACCACATTCAATTTGTCATTTTATAAACATCAGAACCTCACTCAAGGGCTGGGGTACAGATTGGAAAGTCCTATGGATCCCACAGGTAAATATATGCGTGTTTGAACTTTCATGACCTCTCACTACAAAAAATAACTGGCCAGTGATCCCAACTAACCAAACACAATAGCCAACCAACAAAAATTAGGAAGTATAAGGAGAATGTTACAAAGGTAGCAGTCCTATACGCCAACTTCTCCCAGCCTGGGAGATTCTAAATGTGTTCAAGCCCCATAACGCCTAACTCCAGCCCTGGCAAGAGAACATGGGGGATGAAGTACAACACAGCAGGCGAACACATGGGGAAAAGTCCTATCAATTGAACGGGGATGACTGTACTTGTCATATAAAAGTATAATGTACTATAAAGCTACCCTTCAAACAGTTCTTCTACTTGATGAACTTTGCTGAATAATTGATCAAATAGCTTCAGGGACCAAATGCAGCACTGGGTGAGAACTTAGAGGAGAGGGAATTATGTGACATTATCCAGGGATGCTGAAATAACCTCCCTCCTTTCTAGAAGTCTGGATTTGTACATGTTCAGATGCAATTACAGATCCCTCCTGGCCACGGCTGCATTGAAGAATAGTTGGAGAGGGAAAGTATAGGGAGATTTGGATACCCACGACATCTGGGGCCACAGATTCAAGAAGCTAGGAATACTGTGCTCAGCAAGGAAACTAGAGGGATTCTCTCCCCAAAGATCTGCCCATACAGAAGCAGCAGGCACAAAATGGGGTGACCTTGTATATATTTTCTCGGACATTTGTAAAAGAAGAATGGGATAGCAATGTATTTTGTGGCAGTCCCGGACTTCAACTCCCATCATAGCTGGAGAGCACAAAGCTAGGAAAAATGAGACCATGAGGAATGCTATCCCAAATGACCTCTTCCTCCCGGCTTAACTAGTGCTACCAACCACACTTGTTTTTATAAAGGACGTTGTTTTCAGGAGTAACCACCCATGCCATAGGGGAAAGACCATGTTTCTGTCGTGTTCTGCAAAAAGATCTCTTCCTCTCCCCACCATAACCACAGATAAAGATCTCAGAGCCCTGCCTATCTTGGGCAGGACACGCAGCAGTGGGTCCTGGTTAGTTCTGCCCTAGCAATGAACTGCTACTGCTTCCGACTAACCCTGACTAACCCCGAGTAGGAGATGAACAAACTACTGGTAACTTTGCCCAAGGTGGTGGTGGGGGGGGGGGGGGAATGAACCCACAAGAAATACCTGGTTGATGGAGGTCACCGCCTGCCTGGGGATGAATGTCTGCATGACGAGCTGCAAGAGGGAGGTAACTAAGCCAGCCAGAATAGCCCAGGTGAGGGGCAGAGGCAGCATGCTGTAGGTGGCAAAGAGAGTGAAGAGCACGTAGCCAATGCCATCGCCCAGGAGACCACAACCCAAGCCTGCAGCCAAGATTTGGGTGGCCATGGCCACCCAGGTGACCACACCGCTGTACTGCAAGTAGGTGTAAGAGGTTGTGTCCTTCCTGACCACCACTAAGGCACAGATGACCACTTCAATGCCTGTGAAGAAGCCCAAGAGAATGCCCTTGATGGGGTCCATGGGGGCCGAGGCCAGGGTGAGGTGGAGCAGCAGGAGAGTCAGCTTGGTGAGCACATCCAAGATGTTCACCACCACCTCTGACTTCCGCCTCTGGCCCAGGAAGTAGCGCTGGTAGAGGCGCTCCAAGTCCCGAGACTTGAAGGAGTTGCGTAAGGTGGGGAAGATCACACCCCGGTAAGTGTAGCCCCAGTTAAGGAAGAAATCGGAGTTGCTGGGAGCGCAATCCAGGTGCAGGAAGCCCAGATCTCCACTGCTGCTGCTGCGCTCGGGGAAGACTTTGGTGCCCCCATTGTTGTGGCCACCGAGGCTCTTGCCTGCCGACTGGCGCCGGGAAGGATGGGTGTGGTTGGGGCAGCAGGACTCTTCTGAGCTCAGGGCTTTGCCACTGCCGTGCTCTTGGATGAAGCGCTGCTCCGTGATGTGGCGCACGGCGGTCTGCCACAGCAGGCGTTGGGAGCGCGCACCGCCACTAGGGGGCGTCTGGTTGATGGTGTACAACTCATCGCTGTCACTCAAGCAACGTACCTCGGACAGCTCCATTGCGGGGGTTGGGGCAGGAGGAGGACGGTCAGGTCACATTGAAAGGCAGCTGTTCCCCCCCACCTCCTTGGCAGGGGGATCAAAGGTCAGTCAGTGATGGCAGAAGACAAGGGTCTCCCCATGCCTCCTTTGGCCCTGGATATACCTTGGCAGCAATGCGGGGCTTCATTTGCTGCATCCCCGTCGGCTTCCAGGTCAGCGGGGCAGGATGAAGAGGGAGCAGGGAGGCGTCTTGCAAATGGTTGGAAGTCTGGTTAGGTGGAATCAAAGCCACGTGCCCCCAGGTCCTCACTGATAGCCTCCATGGAGTCTACATGCAACGTAAAAGGAGGCCACAGCCACCTGGGCACCCTTGGGGTTGTTGGGGGGCAAAAATCCCAGAGGAGGACAGCTTGGCAGTTCCCATCCTACATTCTGAACCACCTCAGGTCTACGGTTTTCTTGGCAGCTCTCCAGGTCTCAGGCAGAAGGATGTCCAGTCCCTTAAGTCCCTTGAAGCCGGAGGTGCTTCGACTGAGGCGACGGGATCCAAGACAAGTGGCCCCTTGAAGAGAAGAGAAAGTGCAATCCCATATATATGCGATGGAGAGTATTCTGTAAGCACACGCGGAGAGAGAACGGTTACAGGAAGCACATGCAACTTCTCCAGAGCAGGAAGTTACTGGGTTAGGAGAGAGGTGGGCAGAGGAGATACCTCCGGATCGCTGCAGGCGCAGCTGGAAAGGCTGCGGGCGGCTGCCGCTGGCTCTCTGTCACTCCTCGAGCGGCGCATCGCTCCAGCCGGGAGAACGGAGTGGGCACTGGAGGGGCGGCGCTGGGGACCACGGGCGAGAGAAGCGGCCGCGGGAACCGGAGGCA